ATAATTCTTGCCTCAATTAGGTTTTATATTCATACTTCTATATAAAAGACGCATGAATATGTTTTACTATTGCTTCAGAAATCAATTCCAATGCCAGACAAAACTCGGAAAATATTAAAATGTCACCAACCGTATTATAGACTTGTTCGAATGATAAATGAGTTTTGCGAAGTTTTTAAATACCCATTGTTTTCTTTTCTTGTATTTTTTGTTAATCATTTTAATTTTAATGTCTATACAATAGCTTACAACACTTGGAATTCGCACAATTAAATTAGCTCAATCTTTGTTTTACAAAACAAGCAAAATACAAAAATTATTATTTAAAAATAAATATTTTTTAAAAAGTTGATTAACATGAGAAATTGAAGAGTGCGATGTATCGAGACACCGTCGATATATACTATCGATACTTTTGTTGTTTTGGGGTAACGATGAATTGAGAAAGCAGCCCTCATGGGAAGTTGCACTTGATTTTTGTCAATCGATAGGAGGTAGTAGAACGAACACCGAACCTTGTCGATGCAGCTCTGAACGTTCGGTAGCCCTGGAAAACCACGCCAGTCATTTTTGTTTTGATAAGGATAAAAAAGAGCGTGGCCTGAGAAAATTTGCACAAATCACACAAAAAGCGCCACAAGCAATTGCAGAAACGTTGCAAAGTGTGTGGAATGTTGTGCCGCGCAAAGTGTACACCATATTGAGCGCCACAGCGCATACGTGGAACACAACGTGTGGCCGTTGGCAAAGCAGCAGCCGCGACCGAAACGAGCAGACATCTAAAATAACAAACGGACGGGGTGCTTGTGCAAATGGCTGCGACTTTTCGACTTAATTGTATAACATTACCTTCATGAGCAGACAATAATATAACAAAGCTGACGCTCGCGCAGACGATTTTCTCGAATACCTCAAAGGGCGCAACCTAATTAACGAAATCAAGTAAAATGCATTTGAACCATGCGACGGCCGCGACAGCTGCTATGGCCAACTATCAGCACTATGCGCCTGCACAGCTTGCCACGCATAGCGTTGGCGGTGGCGGAGGGGGAGGTGGTGGTGGTGGCGGTGGCGGCGGTGGAGGAGGAGGCGGCAGCGGTGGTGGCGGCGGCTCCGGTGGCGGGGGCATCGGCCCCAATAGCTTACAGCAGCCAACGACAATTGCGAGCCTGCAGCAGAGCCCGTTTGCTCTGCATCAATTGACTGCCGTGCAGGCCATACAACATCCCACCCATCAAGCCATGCTTCATCCACAGCATCCGCTTGTGCACCTGCTCGACATCTCGACGACCACAACGAACAGCGGTGGCAATCATACACCCATATCGCCCATGAAACAGGAGGTGCAGAGCGTCATTAGCGAGGATGAGTCTGTGGTGGACGATCCGCGCAAGAAGAAGCAGTGCCACGTGTGCAAAAACAAGTTCCGGCAGTTGACCACGTTACGCAATCATATGAAAATACACACAGACGAACGTCCCTACAAGTGCAAGCACTGCGACAAGGCCTTCCGCCAAATCTCGACGCTGACCAACCATGTGAAGATCCACACCGGTGAAAAACCATTCACGTGCAATATTTGCGCTAAGGACTTTCGCCAGCAGAGCACGCTCATAAATCACATCAAGACGCATAAGGGTAAGTGCGGGACAGGCGAATCGAATTGACATGTGTATCTTTATATATAAATATGTATATATATTATAAGATATAGCATTCAGTATCCATAACTTCAATTCTTGATTTTAATCCAAACACACACACACACAAACCTACTCGTGCAATTGCAGCGGCTGAGTCAAGCACGCCGACGTCGCTACTCAACTATCAGCCGCCGTCCTCTTCCGGCAAGCACAGCCGTAAATCGCAGTCGAATCAGATGCACAACGCCTACCAGCAGCAGCATCAGCAGCAGCGTGTACAAATCTCAAAGACTCTATATTCGGGCACCTACAGTTCGCCACAGGCGGAGGAGCTGGTGAAACCGTATCAGTGTAGTGTGTGCAAGCGACGTTTCCCGCAGCTGAGCACGCTGCACAATCACGAGCGGACGCACATCGATCCTAAGCCGTACAAGTGTGAGACTTGCGACAAGTCCTTCAGCCAGCTGGCGACGTTGGCCAATCACAAAAAGATACACACCGGCGACAAGCCATACACGTGTTCCTATTGCCACATGCAGTTCCGGCAGCAGAGCACGCTCACCAACCACATGAAGACGCACACACATCTAACCAGCCAGCCAGCCACAGTCACAGCCACAGGTGAGCCGCTTGTGTGTTCGCCCTACAACTGAGCCGCTTTCTGTTATCACTGTGTGCATTGATCATTAACGCACTTCCCTAACGAAGCTTTTATTTAAATTTTGTACGCATGCAAACCAATCAACAACCAATCAACACCCCAACAACAACAACAACAACAACAACTACGATCAACAACCAACAACCAACTGAACTGAACTGAACGGTTAATCGAACTATCTATCAATCAACCAACCCCATCTATGCAACGATCAATACATCTATGCTATGGACTATTAGTGGATCACTCAACCATGCCAGCGCCCCTTGTTCCCGGCACGCAGCAGCTAACGAGCGGCCTGCTACCCAATAACCTGCACAGCACAACGCCCAACATCCTTCAACTGGACCATCATCCGCTGCTACACTTCCTCGATGGCAGTACTACGGTGAGCTCTGTGGTGGCCAGCAATGTAGCAGCGGCGGCGGCGGCCAACACCAAAGTCGAGCACTATCAGAATGCGCAGGGCGTTCGACTAAATGTGGGCAACATAAATATGCTGAAGGGTGACAATCCGGATCGTCCGTTTGGCTGTAGCGTCTGCCGGCGGTTCTTTTCGCAGCAGAGCACTCTGGTCAACCACATCAAAACGCACACGGGCGAGAAGCCGTACAAGTGCAAGATCTGTGAGGTTAGCTTCCGGCAAGTGGCCACGCTCAATAACCACATGAAGATCCACACCGGAGAGAAGCCCTACAACTGTTCCTACTGTCCCAAGCAGTTCCGGCAAAAGAGCACACTACAAAACCATTTGCGGGTCCACACGTGCTAGGCTAGCACCCAGCCAGAGTCCCCAAGCCCGAGCTAGCTCGCTCGACCGAACGCCCGCCCGCCCGCATGTCTGTCAGCCAGTCAGCCAAGCAGCCATTGAGGAATCGTGCAATATGCATAAGCACATACAGTTATACTATATACAGATACCGATCGGATACATGCATAAGTACATAAAGCACATACATACATAAAATACATATAAACATGCATAATACATACATAAACATATATGCATAATATATATATATATATACATGATATGCTTATATATATGTTTCTATATATATATATACATATGTATGCTTATATATATATATGAATATATACTCGAAAAGTGTTATTTACCTGCTGTGCAGAGCGCAATTGTATGTAAACTATAGTAGAGCTGATCCACATGCATGTCCAACTGTAAGTTAAGTCTAGAAGTACTCGTACACACATATTTGTACATGCATATACAACTGTGTGTGTATAGACACATAACCAATAAGAACCCATGCATACATATACACACACACACACACATAATACAGGGTGTTTAAACCTAAACAAAACTAAACTCTAATCTAATCCTACTTATTAGCTTCTTAACTGTTGTCACCTACCCTCCCTCCCACACATCGACCTCCATACACCCTTTCAGTTTCAGTGCCGAAGGAAAAACATTGATTTATAGCTTCTCGTCGTGTTAAGTGTTAAGCTGAACCTAATATAAATACATATAAAGATGAAAAATCTAGTTATTGCTACTATACTGTGTAATACCCATCCCATACGCCATCCCGCTAAATATAAGGCGTAATCAGAAAAGAAAAGAAATCATAACGAAAAAATCTATTTAAATAAGTGTACTCTTAGCGCATATTTAGCAGCATCTTTTACTCACATGACTAAACCGGAACGATGAAAAACATCAAAATATCGTATAGTCGCAATCGCGTTAATAAATCCCCCTATAAACTGGATTGCTTATAGAACAAAACATAGTAAACGGAGAGACGAGAGGTCCTATATTAAGTGAAATAAAATTGTAAAACAGCTAAATTGAAAATGAGAATGACCGTAAATGTTGTAGAAAATATATAGTATATATATAAATATATATAAACTATTTGTAATTGTAAGCAAAAAGCAACAACAATAAAACGAATAAATGCAAAAACAAAACTACTTACTCTCACATTGAGCTACTCAAATATCATCATCAAGGAACATCCCTTAATTGGCCTCAATTAAAATTCGTGTGCCCTTTCATTCGATAACTGTATTAATATCCCCTAAATCATGATTTCATTCACTCACCCTCAGGGCCAAATTTCATTGGAAACAGTTTGTCCAAGTGAAAGGAAAAGATGTGTTCAATGTTTATTTCAATTCAAATATGTTTTCAGGTAGTACAATTCGTGTCGATGTTATGCAAGAACGTGTATTTTGTGTATATAGTACACTAAGTTTATAATAATCACTTTAGCATTAAACTTGCTTAATGTTTACGAGTGTTGCACGTTGTTCTTGTTCATAAGAAAGCCTCTCGAGCAGCTCTGCCAAATGATCTCATATGAATATATATGTGTATATATTTTATGAGAGTACTAGTATATTTATGCATTTATGTTTGAAAACAACAGGAATTGAATGCATTGTAGTGTCCGTGAATTGGAATTGTTACGAAATTTTGGTGCTAGTTTTTATGTTTGTAAAACGTATAAGCCTAAACGTACCTGATCGGGCCTCTAAGCTGATGAATTACTTTCAACATTTCTGTGGCCACAGTAGCTAATATTACATTATAGACATTTATTGGGACTAACATACCAATTAGCTTAATTCATAATTCTTGATTGACTTTACACGACGCTCGTTTGAACAGTGAATCTGTTTCATTGAGTGGGACAGAATATACAATAGAAGAGGCATGGTTATATAGCTTTAGAATAATATTGGGCGCGTATAAATAGACTATATTTGTATATACCATAGCTCAAATGTTGTACTTATATGTAGAAAATTTAACCAAAATAACTATTTAAAGAACCAGCGCAGAATCACGCTGAATGTTAGCCCAATTAAAGCATAGATTAGAGACTTGACCACCGTCGATATGGAGACGCCGCCCCCAATTAAGTCATTTGAATTGATACTGCCATTTCTCAAGTGCGGCGCAAACTGGATTCGTTCCAGCCGGTTTGTGATGTCGTTTAGTTGCTTTGAATGGTTGGCCAACGTTGTGTTCATCTGGTCAATGGCCAAGGTGAGTCTGAAGTATATTGGAATACAAATATAAATACTTTATGATTGCTTCAATCGATCGGAAACTCACTGTCTAATGGCTGAAGAATTGGAGCCACGCTTAACAGCACCCTGCGGCGATGGACTTGAGTCGGAATCCACGGGCTTGTTCTTAGCCTTGGACACCTTTTTGGTGTCTGAGGGAAGTCGTCTAGTGGAGTGGGCGCCAGGGTCTATATTGGAGCGTATTAGCTCGGTGCCGTGCACGATCGGCACCGTTTTGTTACGCGTCTCGGTGAGCACCTTATAATCACATTCGTATTGGCGTACATCGTTACGAACGTCCCATGGCCGCAAATCCGCGTACTTGTATATCCATTCGCCGTAACCGTTCAGCTCAAAGAGGGCCGGAACATGTGGTTGATCGTTTTGTAAACGTGACTTGGCCGCCTCTCGTTGGTTTTCCTCCAGCACCGTTTTCTGCTCGGTAGCAGCCACTTGATCCTCCCGCGCTATGGCATCTGAAACAAGACTCCAAAGACGCTGCGACTCTGTTGGTAATTGTTTCTCCAATGGCACCACGTGCCGTATTAGCCGCTTCGAGCGCATTTCTGCATCGACCTTCAATAGTACGCTTTCTTCTCCGGTTTTTAGATCCTTGAGGCGTAGCTCCTTGTCCCAGTGGCCGTTGATGGTAGCCAAAGTTTCTTTTCCCAATTTAATTTTGCCTACGACTACGTTTATGGTATCTGAGCCGCCAAGGAATGGTTTCAGCTTGAATTCGAGCTCCGTCTTGTAACCGGTGTTCTCGCATTCGATGTTTATCTTGCCACCGAGCTCCATGGACAATGTGCCCATGAGAATGCCCTTGCAGTGGGCATAGGGCGTGGTTGCCGTATAAATTTCGCCACGTGGCAGTAGCGTCATCGTGGCCATACCCTCAAGTACGGCCGACGTGCTATTGCCGTAGAACTTCGATTTGGCCAAGATGGAGCAGGAGATACTGAAGCCATCCTCGCGATTCGTTACATAAAATGCCGATACCGGCGGATGGTGCGAAACCTGTTCGGCAATGTAAAAGGTACGACTGCCGTTGGGGTGTTGCCAATAGCAACGAAATGTTTCGCCCAATATGGGATTATATGGCTTCTTGAGGCCTTTGGGCTTCTTGTAGAACCCGGACAGGTACCATTGAACGACGAATTTCATGCGTGTGTAGGCGTCATCTTCATGGACAGCCCTGCCGAATAGCAATAGACAAATTGTTAGAAACGAATCAAAATAGAGCGAGGAGGAGCGCATACCTAGAGAGCAAATCCGCATGGTAATAAGAGTCAGAGAGCTTGTCCAGAAACGAGCGCGGCTCCAGAATAAACGTGGGCAACACCACCTTGCTCAGATCCATGCCGGGTCGCACCTGTTTCACGATACACCAGATGAGGCTCTTATTTTCCTCGGCCAACTCCTCCACTTGCTCTCCTTGCTGAAGAACGTAATGGAATATTTATGAAAATGATTTGATCGATCACGGAATGGGTTTCACCACTTACCTCACCAAACTCCTCCTCTTGAAATGGCACATAGGTAGTCTCTTCGCATGGTATTTGTTCAGCCACATCATCTTCATGTGCCGGTTCTGACTCTGAATCGCTCTCCAGTCCCGACATTGCCGCATTGGGCGCTTCATTTTGACTGTCAGCGTCCAGATCTGTAACGAGTTGATGAAACGCTCAAACTCGTGTTCGTCACTGTCTAGAGGAGATCTCTAGCTGAGGCAACAGCAATGGCAATGACCCCAATAATGACCTATTCCATTAACTAATGCAAGTATATTGGCTATTTTATGGGTAGATGAGTGGCTAAGATGCGAAACTAACGACTAGCTTCACAATTATTGTACATAAATTTTGAACAAATAACGCCCAGACTACTTCGTGTCGGAAGCAACACAACATAAGCAACTGCTCGACATTGCTAGCAACAACAATGACAACAACTACGACAGACAGATATTGAAATGTGAATCTGGCTGGGGGCCTTCACCCTGAACGTTGACTTGGAAGCGCGGCAGCAGCAGGCAATCGGGCGGTGCACTGACTGGCCTGGAGCCAGCTCCCCTAGGACACACACTGCCGCTGGCGTAGTCCTCTTCGTCGTCACTGGAACTGCTTCCGCAGAGTGCGGCGCCCATCGATAGCGATTTGCTGATGGGCGACAGATGCCTGCCTGTGCGTCGGCCAGGATTCATTTCAGAGGCATTTGAGACATCGCTGGCGCGTCGCATCTGGGCGAAACGTGGCAGGCGCTTGGTGCGCTCCCAGTTGCTAACAGCGCTGCTGTACAGCTGCTGCAGTAGCTGCGGTGTCTGGGCGCGCGACGGTGGGCGCGAGGTCTCCTGCTCGGCCGGCGGCGCCAGCCAGTGCTGCATCCACTTACCGTGATCGTTGAAATGCTTCTCATAGTCGGCTTCCGACCACTGAGTCTCGTCCGAGACGGGCAACGGCTCCTCGGCGTAGTTGCTGGACGGTGTGTTGGTGCTGTTGGATCGCAGCAGTAAAGCTGAGCAGCGCAACGACAGCTCCAATGCATCCATCCAGCACTTGCCAGCGGCCTGGCTCGGCGCTCGAAAGATCAAGTAGGCTGTGGGCAGTGGCTGAACCACAGCGCCTGCAAGAGAAACAGGAGATCAGCAGTTGTCACAGACGAGCCGTATAGAGTACAATTACCTATGGTCTCCTTATCGGGTCCGCGTGGCGCCCAGATGGGCTGGTCCAGCGGATGAAAGAGCTTGAAACAGAAGCCGTCCTTCTTGCTGGGCCGCTCAATCACCTGACATGAGGTCAGCATTACTGTGCCCACCCAGTGGCTACTTTTTGTCTTTTGGCTCTTGTAGATGAGCAGCAGGCCAGGCTTCAGCACGCACCACAGCTTCGTCCAGGACTTGAGTGTGCCGCGCACCTGTAAAGGAAACGAGAAATTTTGTATCAAAAGTTTGACTGCGCGTCTGTTAAACTAATTAACACTCACCTTTAGCCAATCAGCCAGCACTATGACCGCCGGATCCTGCAGAGAATTCATCAGCTCACTGGCCACGCGTTTCTTCTCACGCCGATAGTTCTTGCGCTGGGCCTTGTACGACTCCTTGCGATTGAGCTTGGAGGCCTCTGCAGCAGACTGGGGAAACAAGAGATGATTAGGTGGGTGGGCAGGTGGTTTGTTACCTAGCTAGTGCGTTATATAAACAACAGCAACTGAGCATATGAAAATGCACTTGTCTGCACCTGTCGACAGTTTCTGCATACATTCCAAAATTTCAAAAACATTCGCAGTCTCTTCTTTGTCTCGAGGATGTCTGTGCGCGCACCTGACAACCAACTTCCTCTATAACATTGCTACACACGAATTTTCCAACTAATTCATAAAGCAAATGTTAATCTAATTAGCGCTTAAAACACAATTTTCACACACGAAAAATATGAGAGAGAAAAAAGCCAAAAAGTCGAGATCAGCAGCTATCTGCACAGTTTCACTGGAAGATACCCTATATACATTGGATTTACTTTACGAACTGAAACTAATTTGGTTCACATTTACCGCAGTAAGCTATTAAAATATTTCGAAATTCCAAATTTAAATAGAGAGAGAGGCAGACAGAAAGAGGGAGAGAGACAGAGAATTTAGGTGAAATAATTTGTAAATATTAAAATTCATTCGAATGCCAAACCAAACAACGAAACGATATAAACATAAAGCAATTCTGTTTCAGCCCCGGGCAAATTGCCCGTATTTCCAGTCGAAACCGCAAATTGAAACCGGAATAATGTGATTGGAGTTCACAGAAGATATCAGGAAAAATACAGTCAGCTTTAGCGAGTATTACAAATATTAGTTTTTCGTTATTTAGCCATGAGTATTTACATATGCACACAGCTATATTAATATAATATTTACACATTATATACATACATATATAGTGGCATGTAAAAAAAAAAAAAAAAAATTGCCTAAGCCCCTTTTTGGCATCAGTATGCAGGGAAATCGTATAAGTGTATTATTTTATGGCTTATCAACTTTGCACGTGGTCCGCCTCTATCAATAGATATGCAATCTGTGCTTTTGGCGTCAGCAGGAACCGCACATCGATTAGAGCTGCATTAGTCAGCTCTTATCACAGAGCTCTTATCGGATAGCTCGCCTCAGACAATTACATGCGGACAGAAATCATGACCCAGTTTCAACATTTCTGATTGGTCTTTAATTTCGGTTGTTGTACATATATTTAAAAAAATTCCAGCGCATTTGTTTGTTTTCTGGGAGAAGGTGGAGAGAAATACTTACCTTGTCTGCCGAATTGCCATCGCGATTATCTGCGGCCCAATTGGCGATTCCTGCAATAAGAGATTGAATTGAACGAAGTTATAAACGCTGTGGCTGGCGGATTCTCTAATTATTTATGGCCCGAATTGAATTGGGTTAGCAGCGGCTAAGATCTAAAAGCAATTTGGAAAGATGTTCACAGCCTATTTGTGTATTGTGTATGCTTGTGTCTACACATATGTACATATGTATATGCTTAACGATTTGTATGTGTGTATGTGGGAGAGAAAGAGAGAGAGAGAGATGTATAAAGTACATAAAAACAAATCAACATCGTCTCAAGGTAGGCCGCGGCGCGCTCTGTTTTATTTATTTTTCGAATATGTTTTAATTTATTTCGCAAGACAAACAGACACAACACGTAGTACATATGCAAATGAGCTGGCGAGAACGTTAGTTGGGATGCTCAGGGGCCCTCACTCTCACTCTGTATCTTTCTCTCTCGCAGTCTCAGTTTGCACTTTAATCATAATTGCACACGCTTTCATTAAATTATTATTTTCAACTATTTTTAATTTCTCCTTTTTTACACATTCAATTTATTAAGCAAAGAGACTAGTTTTTTTAGCTTATGTCGCGTCTGCTGTGGCGCACGTAATATACAATAAAAATCAAATAGATTTCAGCTCATAATTGGACAGACTATGCGGAAGACGCGTGGACGCTATGCGACTGGCACTTGCTTTGTAGTAGATTCATTTGGTATTCACGCTGCTCCACTCTGGCCAGCCAGCCGAAGAATGTGCGTAGAAGCTGCGAGCGGCGAGCTGCGAACTGCGGGCTGCGAGCTGCGAGCTACGTTAATTGGTGCCTTAGCATTTGCTGAACGTACGCGGGTACTACATGACGTATACGCTATACGATACTCAGAATCGGATTCGGAATCGGAAAGGGAATTAGAAATAACACGTATCCGCAACCGTAACCGTCAACGAATTGTTGTGAAACTGTATTGAGATGGCGCGCGAATGCGTGCTGGGATGCCCAGTCAGACTCGCCGATTGAGATATATGTATATATGTATGTAAATATGTTTATTGGCATGCGCAGCGAACGAAAACAAAACGCAGCTAACTACGGAGCCGGAGCCGCAACGACAACTGAATATGCCCAAAGAGCAGCGACGAGCAGCTGCCGCTGGCCCAGCGGCGATGACGCGACTGACACGGCCGCTGACGCTGGCGTTGGCGTCGCTGCCGCCATATACCCCACACACCGCCCGCCATATAATAATGAGCCATTAGCCGTATGTAGTGATTGCTGCTGTTGTTGCTGTTGCTGTTGTTGTGGCTAACGATTGCATGCTCGCCAAAAACAAAAAGCAAATAGATAAAATAAAAACAATAACAAAACAAAAATCAAAACATTTTTTGTTTGAGAAATGTTTTGAATATTTCGAAAAGCAGTTGAGAGGCGCGTCTCTGGCGAGCTGCAGCGAACGCCCGATATTAAGTACTCGTGTGTTAATTTAGACAGCTCGCAGATATGATATCAGTGCGCAGTCGGCATCTGCGTCGGCATCTGCCCAGCGTCGACGCGCCGCTGCCATCTAGGCTAGTCACACTCACTGCCGCTCTCTCTCTCTCTCTCTGTCCGTCCTCTCTCTCTCTCTGTTGTTCATAGTCACTCTTTATGTGCCAAACATTTGGGGCGTTATCGATGAGGCTATTAGCTACTAAGTTTCTTCTGTGCATATGCACACACATACATGTACATGCTGCCTCTGCGTATGTGTGTGCATGAGCTACACACAAGTGTTTACACTGAGCTCATGAGACGTGATCCCAGACGCCGTATTACCTAAGGCTTACGACTTAAGTGTGCCTTACGATATTTATAGTCTTCAGATCAAACAGTTCAATATTTCCAAGTGCACACAAACTTTAAACTACATCTGTTCACTGACATGATCTTACTCAACGTACAAATGCAAATACAGTAGTCGTTCGCTAATGAACAAATGGAAATGGGAAGGCTAATGAAAATGAATGAAATTTACTTTGTGTATTGAAAAGTATGCTAATTACTTATTTCTAATTCATTATTATATAGAGGCTCGGGACTTAATGTAATCTATAAAATATGTTTAGGTCTTATAAATATTTTCCAAATTATTTGAGACGAAATACATTTATCTACCAAGTCTTTTATCAAGATAACATAAACCGAGTTTTGAGACAATCCCGGAAACTAATTCACATGTTTTGCTCTGAGCCAGAGCTGATTTTGTATTTTTTTTCTGGTGTCCATCCAACAAGCAAGCCGAAGCAAGCAAAATTTGTAGTGAAAATTATGTGGAACCCGGAAATCAAATATTGTACTTTGTACGCTTTGAGCCGCAAAGCAAATATAATAATTTTCCATGAACCAAAATTAGTTTTATTTCGCAGTTTCCCTAGAAATTAGCAAAACGTATTTCTAGTTGGGCCATTTCTTTTTTTAAAGGCAACTGTTTTTGTAACAATCACAAATAAGTCAAACTAAAAAAATAAATAAACAAATATAATATAATTTATAAAAATATATATACATAAAAGAAACCTAGATTCCAACATAATCAAAACTGTATAGTTTAATGTAGATCCTAAGCAATTCAAGTGCATTAATAGCTTATAAGAAATATAACAACTTAAGAGCTGCTTCCCATCACTGAATTATCTTTAATTGTTGATTCAGGCGCTGAGCAAATGTGCTAAACTATGTCATAATTCATTTCGTATGTTTGCTAAAATGCAAATAAAACAATAAACAAATTCATCAAGTTGCCGGCCAGATGTGCTTTGAAATCGGAACTGCGGACTGCAAGCTTGCTGTTAGTTGTATTATTTTATTTGTAGATAGAAGCAATTAGTAAGTCAGTCGAATGTTCGCAAAGCTCATTTGTCATATTTCAGTGTTGTTGACAGCTCAATGATTCAGTGGGTACGAAGAGAGTATCAAAAATAAAACGAAGAAATGAAAGCAAAAGTCGCTTATCGGAGCGCAAAATGTTATCGTTAAGTTTTGCAATCAAATGTTGTACGAGCGGGCCATTTCAATAAAATGCCAACGCTATGTTTTTGCACATTAATTAGGGCTTATCGAGAGCGCGAACACTTTTAAGTTCTATACCAACTAAATACAACTACAAATACCGACGATAAGATATGATATGGCAGATTGACAGCCAGCAGCGGCACTGGCACAGCTAGACGTGGGCAATCTTTTATCCAGCAAAGCTCCAAGACAGGAACTGAACTGGAACGGCATGGGATGGGGCGGTACGGGGCTCGCTGCCTTCAATTTCATGTCATAAATATAACAAACACAACTGAACAACTGAAAAACTAGTATACAATACAATACTCGTCCAATAATAACTGAAAAGCTTTTGATAATGCACCGTGCGCTGCGGCACACAATAGATGGGAACGAAGGCAAAATGATACGAATGGCAGCCAAATGCGTCACAGATATGGCAACGCTTGACGCGGCGGTCATGGCTAAGTGAGTACTTAACTAAATGTTCGCGAAATGCATACAAATGCGTTCGTTGGCCAACTGCATGGAGGGAGGCCGAACGCGTTGATGATCACGATTAGCGAAAGCAAAAGCTGAAGCAAAAGCAAAAGCAAAATATATGTGCAAAATATGTGCCACAGATGGTCCGTGGAATCCGTGAATATTCGTTTTATGATCAATAAAATGACTGCTGGAATAATCAGGGAATAACTTGGTATGCAGTATGGGAGATGGAATGATAAATAGAATAACGTTCAGTGGAATAATCTGAAATGTTCTTAGTATCAACAAAATTTATAATGAAATGTGGAATAATCAATGAAAAGATCGATGAAATCATTGTCGTATGAACTCAGTGAAATGATCTATAAATGATCAGTGGAATTATCAATGAAATGAACGGCGACATGATTGTAAAATTATACGTAAATTGATCAATGGAACAATGGAATGCTTGCTAGAATGATCATTCGAAAGATGACTGATAAATAGCAACTTTGTAGCTTAATTGAAATGATTTCAAATGGGAATAATAGTGGAATGAACTGTAGACTGATAAATGAGTTATTTTTATAGTGGATGCCATGATCAGTGAAATAGATTGTAGAATTGATTTGATGATAGATCGGTGAACTGTGCAAAATTTTTGGAAAAAACTTCACCTGGCGATGATGGCGCTGGGCTGTTGCTCAAACTGTCTGTGGAGGGCAGTTTGGTTAAAAGCACCTTTTGCGAGGGTCGACGCTTGAATTTAAAATCGAATACTGCAGTAATGTGAGCAGTTAGCCCCATACATAGAATGAAATATGTTAAAAGAGAGGGAGAAATAGAGAAAGCGAGCAATATAACTAGTCAATATTCATATAATATCAATACACAAATGTAGTTCTATAATTCTATAGTGTTACTACATACATTAACAAACACATTTACGACATCGAGACGACTTTAGAAAGTATAATTTGACACCGACAAAAGCAGAAAACCATAGCGAAATAAAGAGCTGGAACTGATAGAACTTCTCATCCAATAACATATTCATAAGTAAAACATTTATAAACAAACATGAATAAAGTAGAACTAGTATAAAAACTAAATATTTATATTTAGAGTGTGAGTTGATAGTAACCCAAATATGATATAGTTTAGTATGCTCTAACGGTAAAAGTAGCACATTGACAACATTTTAATGGATATTTCGAAGACCCAGCGATCGATGATAATCGATGCTATACATTTATGATTACTTTATTGCACCTATAGTCCAATAAATTAGTAGTTCTCGCACTCATGTGATACCCTGTTTATATTTATCTCAAACATTAATTGGCTGTAATAGAACTATCGATGTGATTATGCATAGTCCAAGTCAACTTTAATCAAGCTGAATGCATGTCAGCTTGGCGCAATTCATGCGCAACCCTATGGCAATGTATCTCGGTCATTGTCTAGCTGCGGGATAGACCATATTAGACGTGTCGATTAATCGCTGTGAATTAATTAAGTACCGCTATCAATTTGCTGTCATCGGGTACGGCGCACAGCACGCAGACGTCAATAAACAAGGCGAGTCTAGCGCTCCTAGGACGATAGGATGCGTCGATAGATTGCATTGATTAATTTCCAATAAAGAACTTGTGGGCGTTTCAATTACGCAATTTCCAAGCACGCCTCGCGCCTGGCCACGCCTGGCTAATATTGGCCAAGATATGGCCAAAGGAGCGCCCAGCCAAAGTTCAAAGTGCTAAACGAGCGACCCTGTGCGCCATGTGGCGGCTAATGGTCAACTGTCGATAGCTGTTAATTTGGCGCTGACCAATGGGCGACAGCATTAAAAAGAGCTGACCGCAAATGATGAATGACATCAACATGCGAATGCACTTTTGGTTATGCCAACTTTTGTTGTTGTTGTTGTTGTTGTTGTTGCTGCTATTGCTGTTTTGTTGATGACTGTTGCATATGATGTCACAGCAAGCACCCGTATGTGCCCCCATTTGTGTATGTGTACGCGTATGTGTATGTGTTTCATATAATCCAATTATATACTATAGTGCTGGCCAATGGCATATGTAAGTGGAGCAGGGCTCTTACAGTGGCGGCGGAAGTGGTTTCTACTAGAGGGATGGATTCATTAGATATGCAAACGGCGAATGCCAGGTGGAGCTGGCAATCAATATGCATATGTGCATCGAGTTTAGCACGACTCTCTAATTTATTACACGGCAATTTGCCCAAAAGCATGCTATAAAATATTCAACGAATGAGATACTTGTCCACACACACACACACACACACACACTCGCCAAACACATTGATTTGGATAAGTGATGCATATTCGTTCAATAGATAAATTATTCAGCCCTCTGCTAGATATGACGATCGAATTCGAATCGTTGGTTATGCAAATGTACAAGAGAATTTCATCAACGGGTACAGCCAAAGTGGACCGGATGTGGCCAGGCGGAGAAGTGGAATAAAGACTAGAGCTAAAGTTCATGGTGCACATCTCACTTCTGACCTTTGCCAACGAAGCTTGGAAGCGAAACAAAAATAGAATGCAGCATGCCTTATGAAATACACGCCAAACCCAGCACAGCCCAGCTCAGCCCTCCTCCCATCCGCCCCAAATAGGCCCTTACGTACGCCAAAATGTAAAAAAAGAGAAATGAATAGAAAAAAATGTATATACGTAAATTGAAATAAAAAGCAAGCAACTAAAATGGATGGACACATCACAAAACGCAGCGACGCATCGATTTTTGTTTTTGCTCGTTTGCCCCCTGAGTCGCTGGGGAGTGGAGCAGGGCATGCCGACTTTTTGCAAATATACAAGCAGACATACCACATTATATACATATAAGTATTATATATATGTATATTTGTATAATTGTGCCAACTGCTGCATTTCTCAGCATTCATGGCCTGCAGTTGGCCCTTTCGGCGCCTTTGGCCCCACTGTGCCCCAGCCAGGGGGTACTAAAAAGTGCCTAAAAGTTTGCGCGTGTCAGCTAATTGCTTGTGTGTATGTGTGTATTTGCACAATGCCCATTGTGCATGTACAAGTACCAAAACAATAAAAGATGTCTACTTAAAATTTTATGACAATTACTTACAATAAAACACACAACGAACTCGAAGCGCAAAAGCAACAGAAGTACAGCTTAACGAATTATTAATACTCTCTAGGTCAAGCTCTAAATATAATGTACTAACTGAAGCATAAGCAATCATAAATATATTATGCACAGAGACAAGCTGTAATATGTGTATATAGTATATATCAAAGACTTATTTAGACTTAAGACACATCTTATGCATGTATTTGTGTAGATTAAATTGTATAATCTCAGCTCTGCCTGCATAAGGCCTTTATCATGCAAAACAATGAATATTTAAGATGCAAAGTCTTTATCATACGAGACTGCAATATTTTTACAAAAGAAATTTGAGCTCGTTAGCAAATTGGCAATTAAGTGTAATATTAATTGGTTTGGCCGGATGCAGTTGAGCTGACAAAAGCCCTGAGGTAATCAATGAGCAACTAGCACGACCTGCTGCTTGACACGCACACAAAGATACACAGACATAGAGATACACTTGTCGCTCATAAACTGCATTTATACGCATATAATAAATATCACATAAATACGTCAAATGCTGTTCTCAAATCAATCGCAGTCTAACTTCTCTTGGTACAGATTTTATCAGTGTGAGTATGCATATAAAAGTCATCAAGTCTGTTTAGCGAGCGTGTGCTGTAGCACATACATATGTATAGACGTTGAAACGTAAATTATGACAAGAACAGGTGCAAGTGCAAAGCGACACGGGTAAAATCCGATTTGTTTGCCTTTTGTCTTCAATTCAAATTGTGGTTGCTGCATAGTCATAGCAACAACAAACTGAGCTCAATCAACAATTAACACCTCTCGCTCTCACTCTCTCTCTATCTATCTACATCTCCCCCCACACTCGAGCTTCGACCAGTTGACGGATGGAGCGGAAGTGCTTGAAACCCCAGACAAAGTTAAAAGCGTGATGCGACAGTCGATGTTAGTCGCGTAGCGGGAACTGCCATTGAAATGCGAGAAACAACAAAATCAAAACAGAAAACGCAAAAGTGCCAAAGCACAAAGTTACTGGCTTAAATATACCCTGTACGCATCTAAGAGCTGTCTGGCTACTCCCTTATTATTATCGATAAACATATGCTACAGCCTCACGCAGCAGTTGAAATTTGAAATTATATGTACAACAGAAGAGAGTAAATATACAGCTATAATTATATACATTCATATAGTAATGAATATAACAATATAAGTTCATGAACTATACATATGTATATAATAATAGAATTGAACAAACTAAACACATATGCCTTCCCTGAATACACCTTCACTAATTGAGTGCAGGGTATGCAAATTGAGACAGCAACAAAACATAGATTATCATATGCATGTATAAGAAGAATACGAGTGTGTGTGTGTGTCAATGATTGAAACGAAAAATGCGAACAACAACGAAACACAAAACGAGAGCGCAAAATGTGAGCCTGTAATAGCGGCCAACAGAAAAGCAACGCAAAATGACGCAAAGAGACGACACTGAATATCAATTGAGGCTAAGCTGGCTGAACGGTCGCATCCTGATCACCAACTCATCACCAGACGACTCACCTGACGACTGCCTCAGGCCGGCGCTGTTTGGTGGCGTTATGTTAATGCCACTGATGCTGCTGCCGCCTGCACTGGCGCCAATGCCGGCACTGACGCCCAGCGACTGATTGGAGGCCGCCATGGACATTATTCCGGTCGTCTGCAGCTGTAGATGACTCCCAGTGGCCGTGGGCACGCTGCTCGAATGCGGCGGCTGCTGTTGCGGTGTGCCGGGCACTGAATGGGAAGCGGCGTTGGCCACTGGCGGCACCAGTGTATCCCCGCCGCCCGCATGCTTTGCACTGCCTATGCGTATTGGTGTGCTGCTACCTGGTAGAGCACCCGCCGCACCGACACCTGAGTTGATGGGCGTGTGGTTGCCACTGCTCGAATTGGTTATGACAGCTGGTTGCTGTTGTTGATGATGCTGCTGCTGCTGCTGTGATTGCTGTTGTTGTTGTTGTTGTGTTTGCTGCATACTGTCTTCTGGAGTTGTTATGTTTTTGTTGTCTGTTTCTTGTTCCACTTATTGCTTAATCAGCATGGCCTTTGCTTCAGTTGTCCAGCGTGCAAGGTTGACACACTCTCACATACACGACTTACACACGCACAGACAAACACACGCAGGCTCGGCCAATTATTGATTTTGCTTAGCTTCCCTCCTTACGGCACATACAATTTTGTTTTCCAAACTTCTGTTTTTTTTTTAATTTTCTTTATTTTTTATGTGTTTTTTAACTGTACTGTTATTGGCAACTCGAAACTGAAATGCTGCTGCTTGTTTTTTATAAATATGTATATACTATATGTATATATACATAGTATATGTATGTGTTTATTTGATTCAGGCTGTGGAGTGCCTGCTCCTTTGCTAGTTAGTTAATTAAAGGCAGCACTGCAGCCACGTAACAGACAGCATGAACCAATTAGCTTGACTGCTAAAACAGCACAACGGTCAGTATTATTATTCTTAGTCATATACACTCACTCACTCAGTCGCTCAACAAGAAACACCACTAACACATATGCGAGAGCTTGACACACACTTTTCGTATGTGTTACAAACTTGTACTTGCCGCGTGGGCGCTCCGACGTTGTTCACGCTTCACGTACAACTGAAGCTGAGACTGGCACAACACTGCGGCACACCGCGTTCGCATTCGCATTCGCTATTCGCATTCACATACACACAGAATACATGCGTATTTGTGTACTCGTGTCTTATTTCCAAAAAGCTAAACTTGTTTGTACGCTTTTGTATGAGCTCATCCAATGCTGCGCCCGTTTCCCTTGCCGACGTCAACTCGAACGAAACACTAACAACCACCATTGTTCGTTTGTAAGATTATTATTGTGACGCGGCAAAGACGCTGGAAGTGCAAATGCGAACAAGTTGAACAAGCTTTTTTTTGTTTGGGGGAGGAATTGGAAAGCTAGCCGCCTACCAATCTGCATTGCCAACAGCTGACAGCTTTCAAACTCATGGAAACGTGTAGCCTGCCCTCGCTGTGTGCGAAGAGTGCAGATATATATACCAGCTAATATTGACCAATCTAGTACATTCTTGAGCGTTCCCGGCATTTTTTAGGCCTTTTCGAATATATAAATACATTCAAACACATTTATGCGAGAAGTCGAATCGAAACACTCGAAGTTCTTTTCTTTAACTTAATTTTTACAAATGGTTTATGTATTTGTAACTGATCTTAACTATTTATTGACTTAAATCCACTATTTCATGCTTTATATTATTTTGGTCCATTTATCATTTGTGGAGGTAGCGTTCCCAACGGTGGAGGCGGCCCCATCATGGCCATCGGATTGAGAATTGGCGGTGGACGTATCCCTGTGGGTGCCATCAGTGGATTCATCATGGGTGGCATATACGGCGGCATGTTGGGCATGCCTGGACGCGGCGGAGCTCCCATGTTGGGTGGTGGTATGGAAACGCCGGCTGGCTTGTTGCCAGGAGCAGGTCCAGCGAATGGGTTGTTTGTAATCTTGCCCGCCTTAAATGCAGCAGTGGTGGCATCGATCAGATGCTGTGCCTGCTCCTCCATCCATTTTTGATAGTAGAACTTCACATTATCACGATGCTTGCGACCCGTGCAATGGGTTTTGCGCACGGACGGCGAATCGTGTGTCAAATATGTATCGCAATAATCGCAGTAATACTTGGGCATGTTGATAAACAACAATTTCTAGTTCGTTAATTTGTAGCTGACGTTAAACAAACTTACAAAACGTTTGATCAGAAATGAAAATGAAGACGCACAACAAAATATTATTGACAGACTGACCGTAGTCGAAAAACATGAAAATTACCAATCACTACAAAAATACTAACACTGCTTGTTTTGAAGTGTTGGATAATTGGTATAAAATCAGTGTGGTAAAGTGTGAACATATGTGCTAAAATATAATCGATATATCTATCGATGCATAACAGTCTCTTTTGAGCATAACAGTTTGTTGCCGCTATTAACATTAACATTTGTTGCTAACAGTTTTTTTAAGACCGGCAAACGAGCAGGACGTATGCGCGGACGTAGGCGCTGTCGCAGTAGTTGATGTTTGTTGTTGTGCGCACCTTTTTGAATGATGTGTCGACTGTGAATGAGCGGCAAACACGCGTAACGGCAATAAAATAGAAGAAAAGAAGAGAAGAGCGCTTGCCAGAGAAACATAAGAAGCAATAAAATCGTAATTATTACCAAATCGTGTTCGGCGTGTAAAATGCTGCCGTACGAAGTGCAAAGCATAAACCAGTTCAGAGTGCATAAATAACTGCCGCCCAAAACGCCGGCGTGTGTGTGTGTGCGAATGTGTGTGTGAGTGTAGTTTCGGCTTACATTCAATTAAAAACCCGGCCAAAAGTCTCGCTCTAAGGTGGCCAACTAGTTTATGCGTACGAGTGTGTGTGTGTGCGTGTGAGAGTCTGGAGCAAACGTCCAAAAGCAAAGGAATTTATGTTGGCGCAGCATCGCGGCAGAGCACAAAACAGACAACAATAGGCAAAGGCGAAGACGAAGGCGAAGGAAGAGCCAAAGACAACGCCGAACGTTGGAAGGAGCCGCCGCTGTCGACGTCGTCGTCATTATAGAGGATTCCAATTCCAGAAGTTGTTTGACCAGTTTCGGCTGTGAGATTTTTTGAGCCCGTAGCGCGTTCTTTTGTTTTGTTTTTTTATTGGCCTTCGGAGACGCGCCTGGCTGAATGAGGAACGGGTGGATCAGCTAGCGATATGCCCTTTGTACAGCGCACTGTGCAGCCGGTGAATGTGGCACAAGCGACAGCCGCCAGCCTGGGGCATGCCTCCACGCGCTTCCACTGCTTGCCGGGCAAGTGCAAAAACAACAATTGCATAAATAAGCAGTCACTCGATGAGACGGACGCCGGCGCGCCCACTTCGCCCAGTCTGACCCGAGCGCTGGTCCACGGGCTGCCCAATGGCGTCGACTCGGACGCTGAGCCGCGTCCGCCGGCCGCTCTGCCCATGAAGAAACTGAAGCAGCATGTTGAATTTTTACCCTCGACCTCGCCCACGACGCCCACATCGCCAACACGGTCGCGTGCCTCGCAGTCGCTGCCCAATTCGCGGCAGCCGAGCCAGCAGCGTGTGGCGCTGCCCGCACGCAACGCCAGCGCTCCGCAGTCGCCGACTGCGACGAGGATCGTCTCCGGCTACGAATTCGACTCGATCAGCAACATAACCCTAAGCAATGCGCTGCGCCAGCTGGCCAGCCTGGTGCTCATCGCCAGCGACATCTTCGAGGAGCTGCAGCGGGACTTGCAGTCGGTGGGCGAGCGGGCGGGACGCGTGCAACGCAAAATAACGGCCGTGGAGCGGCGCGTATGTGCCTACGATCCGAAAATGGTCACAGTTCGTAAGTATTCCAAGAGAAAAGAACCGTTAACATTATTGCTTCAACTTGTAAATTTGCAAAACACACACATACAAATACATATACACAATTGTGCATACTACTACAGTTTAAGCTGTTCGAAATGAATGTCATTCCAAATAATCGCGATTTAAATTTTCTTTTTAACTAACTTTTTCACAAAAACTCCTTTGATTTAAAAAAGAAACTTTTTGGGCAAAAAAAAAGAGTACACCCAATAAACTTATAAGAAAAATTGGGGTTAAATTTGTATCAGTCTGCTGCTTGAGATGTCCGCTGGCAGAGCTTTCACTGTATATGATACATACATATCCCTATATACTAACACATGTATACATGCGTATTTCAATTGCCATTCATAGCAAGTCGCGCTGGCAAAGTCAAGTGCGTTTATCACAAGGCAGCTTATCTCGTGTCATCTCTTTCTGCCTTGCACCCTCAGCCGGACTGCTTGGTATGCGTGCCTGTGAAGCTTTTGTGGGTGTGCGTGTGAGCAAGCGTGTGTAACTGTGTGTGTGTGTGTGTGCTGTGGGTGGCTGGCAATGGGCTGTGCTGGAATCTTATCTGGACTGCGTTTTCTTTCGTTTGCTTTGTTGTAAATTAAATTCAATTTGCCAGGCGCAAAAGCAAAGCGCGAAATTAACACCTTGTTTACTTTCTGCTTTAGCTTCTTCTTCCTCCATTTCCTTTCTTCTGCACGCTCACTCGCACCGCCATGATGTAGGAGGAGGTGTAAGAGCTGGGGCTGTGGCCTGTTCACACAATTAGCTGCTACTACAATTACAGATAAGCGGCTAAAGTTGCTTTGGCTCATTGTTTTCGCGACCTTGTGTTAAATTGCGGCCAACGTGTTTGCCCATTTATGTTGCACACAGCTCCGTGTAATGCTGCAAAGTCTCTAAGATTTGTAGCAGTAGCAACAAGTTGCTCAACTTTGCCTGTCTGTCGAACTGCACCAAATTGTCTTTGCACAGCAGTTTTTAGTTTTTATATGTATTTCCTTTTTTCGTGGTGTTTGCATTTTTGAAATTCGGCTATTCGTTGGAAATTTACGCCTGTGCAATAAATTTTGAGAAATAAATAAATAAGGTAAAAAAAAAGTTTTCGTCTGTCTGGCGACGCTGACAGCAGCTTTTTGCAGTTTCCATTTGCTTCCTGCTGTTTTGTCATGCATTACCGCAATGTGCAGTGTTGCCAGATGATCGAATGCGATCGATTTGCAACAGCGCACATTCCATCTCGCTCTCGCCACTTACAGTTGACAGCTGACAGCTGCTGAGTAAAGGCAGCTGCTGCTGTTGCTGCATGCCAAGGCAGCGCGCGCTAATTGCTCAGGTATGAAGCGCTCAGAACAAGAGAACCACATAATTACATGCACGTACAACACACACACACACGTACACGCACATTCATACATTCATGTGTGAGCAGTTAGCAATTTTGCAATTGGCATTTGCCGACGAGCACTCTGCCCCCTCCCCTTTGCCAGTGTTGCTCAGCGTCGCTCATTAATGTGGCCATATTAGAAAATGCCATTACAGCGCGACATCCATCGCCATTGCCATTTGTGGGCAAATGTTAACTAAGCCGCAGTTGCCTCAAACCGAGGGGGGCTGTGCAGCGGTGCGTGGCGCTGGCAGGGGTGCCTCTTTTTGCCAAAGGCTGCCTACTCAGTGAGGGGCGTGCAACTGTTACCGTTGGCTGCGTTTTTTTTTTCGTTTTCTGGCTTTTTGTTTTTGCTACCTCTATCAATCGGCCATATTGCTCGGCAACATGTAAGCAGGCGCTGCCTGCTGCATACGTGACTAGACTATGAGTGAATGCAACTGCTACTGTTGCGGCTGCTGCTGTTTGCACTTTGAGTTGCTGCTTACTGATGGAGGCAGCTGCACTTTGAACATGACCGCTATCCACTTGGCTAAAGGATGGCCATTTACTGGGAACTTGGCACAATTGATATGTGAAAAACACACACGAATCATACATCCGTGTCTATGCGTGGGTGTGTCTCTCTGTGTGTGTGTGGGTGTGTGTGTGTGTGCATGGGCAGTTTATAGTTTTGCGCACACATGGCATCTGGCTGTTAGGCTAATTTGCTACGTGTTAGCCAATGCCTGGCGAATTGAATACCATCAGATACACTTGCCAATCGCTTATAGCCAGCACATGCCACATAAAAATTCCTAACAGAAAAAAACAACAAACAAAGAAGAGCCATAACATGGACAGGTTAACAGCGCAGTTACAGTTAAATGTTAGCCGATATTTAGAGAGAGTATATAAGCTGCGACTTGTGAGCTTTTTTTATTGCCTGCTGCTGTATTCTGTTCCACAAGAAACAAAACAAAAAAAAAAGTAATTGCAGCCACAGTGGGAATAAATTACGCGCAGCCTGACCAAAAGATATGGCCCGCATCTGAGCAGCGCACAAAACCTGTTCCCACCTGCAACATGTCGCTCTGCCAGAGTGTATATACATGTATGCATATATGTGTGTGTGTGAGTGTGAGTGTCTGTGTGCCGCCACAAAACTAAACAAACCAGCCAACGAAAATAAACCTTAAGGAAAAAACGCGCTGCGTGCTACGGCCAAATAATTTCAACTAACCAACAAAAATGAGATACACACCCAAAAAAAAAAAGAATGAAAAGATACAGAAACAGATACTGTGCGTTATTGTCTGTTAGTTTTGGTTTTTAGTCTTTTTTTTTCGTGTTCTCTTCTGTCTTAAGCATTCGACGCATTATTGTGTTTCAAGTGCGCTTGATGAGCATTTGATTGTTGCAGCCAAGTTTTTGCCCTGTGGGGCAAGAGGGGGCAGCGGTGGGACGTGGGCACTTTGGTTTGCTGGTTGAAATCATTTTTCGTTAAATTTTTCTTTTTCATTTCTGTTTGTTTTGTTTATGTTCCCCAAACAGCATTTTGTTCTCACTTGAAGCGCAAAACCGAAATGTAAACCAAGCACAGTCGCAGTCCGACCAGTCACATACACATAAAGTGTGTATATACAGACACAGATACAGATTCAGATAGAGATAGAGATAGAGATAAACACTTGCAGAGATACATATATAGATGCGCCCTGTCAGCGCTGTGCATATAAACACTGCAACTGAGTCTCGACGAACCTGTGCCGTGCAGCGTGTGGCAATCGTCAGGTTGCCTAAGCGGCACGGCTGGATCGCTGGGGCACCTGGGAACCTATCCGGTCTGTTCTATGCTGTATTTGCTCTTCTGGCAGATAACATTCCTCGTCTGACTCTTGCGCTGCGGTGTTTGCTTAACTTGGGCAGCAAATGTAGCTGAAAAGTGCGCGAACGTCGTCGTCATCGTCGTCGTCGTCGTCGCCGCAGTTAAGGCCACAAGTTCAACGGCTAAGAAACTTGTTGCGTGCCTTAAAGAACGGCAACTGGAATCTGCAGATTGATTGCCGATCGTCGTCGTCTGCGTCTCTGTTCGCTGCATTTTTGCACGTTTGCCAGCTTCAGCTTGCCGCATGGAGCTGCTCGTAGCTCGTAAAGTCGCTGCCGGAGTTTCAGTTTGATGCATTTCTATGCAACCGCAGCAGCAGCAACAACAACAACAATAATACCAACGCACCTTTCAGTCATTGAACTTTAAGCTATGCGTTGCCCCGACCAACCGACATCAGTCGAGAACGTCGTCAATACTCACAGATTGCAGCGGGCTTCATTCACAGCCGTCGCGACGTTTGCCCCAAACCAAACCAACCAAAGATCGTTGCCTTGAGTTTCATATCGCTTGGTTCGGTTTGGGTTTTAGTTTTCGGTTGTGAAGTGCGGCGCTTTTTCGATCCGATCAATCGATTCATAAAAAAAACTTTAAATTGATGTGCCTGAGCCGTTCTCTTCTATTGGTTGTCTTGTGGACGTAGTGGAAGTCAATGACTGGAATGACAGTTATCGAGCTGACGACGATAGAATACCCTGTAGAAATTCGAATTATTTGTTACATATTTTATGTTACTTATTTTATGATTTTAAATTCTATTTTAGAAATGAAAAACATCCGAACTGGTTTAATTACAAAATCCATTTGCTTATATAGTACATAGAATCTTTATCTGCGGATATAATAGAGATAAGATAGCTGATAGAGGGTTATTAGAAAAATACCTGTGCGAATTTAAAGTTTATAAATATGTATTTTGTATAGTCTCATGTTATCTTTTGTTCTATAGTTCTCTATTTCCCTTTTTCCATCTCTTTCTCATTTCCGTTTCTGTCTCTCTATCTCTATTTCTATCACTCTCTCTCTCTCATTCTATCCCCATCTCCCTCCCTCTCTATATCTAACTCCATCTCTCTTGATCAATGTCCACATTGATATACCCTCTATTAGGGTATACAAAACGTGACACATAAATAGCGTTTCTTTTGTTGTTGCTTTCGTTTGTTTGCCTGCAGCGGATGTGATTTGTTGTCGCTGCTGCAATAAATAGTCCAAAAGCTAAGAGCGTTGCAGTTGCAAGTTCGCCGACGGCCTTATAAACAGCTTGTTAGAATCAAAACACCCGCATTATGCCGCATGCAGGAGTTTCAGTCAAATTCAGTTTGCTTCTTGGCCATAAACTGTCTCCATGCCGCACGACGACTTTCTAATCTATATGTTCTCCGTGCATGCATGTGTGTGTGTGTGTGTGTGTTGCTGTGTATTTATTTACATGAGAATGTTGCCCCAAGGCTGGCGACTGCTTGCACCTTAGCTGGCTGCAATCTCTTGGTTTCAGTTGAGATTTAATTGCATTTAAATTTAATTTATAAAAGCCAAACGTGTTTCTAAATATGCCCATTAAAATGGTATGCCTGGCAAGAGGGTCGCTGCGGCTGGCTGTTGCATGAGGCATATGCTGTGCAGCTTCTGGCATGTGGCATGCGGCGTGGGCAGCTAGACAACAGGATACTTGTAGGCGTTAGAACAAAGGCGAAACCCGAATGGCCATTGCCCAGACGCGACTCTG